TACCATGAGGAATTAATTGGATTCAAGTTTATTCTACCTGTAAAAATTCCAAGGCCATTCCATCAATAGGCTATAATCATCAGCTTATCTCTCAAAGCCAGGATGTCCATTTCAGTCTATGTAGATCAACTCCAGAGCTGCTTGAGTGGAAGTCTAATTCCTTTTACACGCCAGACAAAACCTATTTCAGAAGTATTAACTGTCAGTGTGGAGCTTCTCTGGGGTCACATGTAAAAAAACAACCAAAAAACTGAGTAAACCTGCATTCAAAATCCTTGCGAGCAGTTTTGTCAATCCATATCCTCGGTATTTCACTAGCTGTGCAGACAGTTTTGTTAATCTGTGCCTTTGGATTTTTGTTTGTCTCTACCCATCAGCAAATTGGTTCTGAAGACGTGTGTAAACCATTATCATTATTACTATTATAGTATATAGCATAGTGTTATGCTAACGTAGCTCCAAGGCTTTTATTAATCTTGTTTTGACAATATAACTTGTGACAACACACTGACAAAGGTTTGAACATGTATGGCTGTTTATAGTTTAACTGGCTTTGTTAAAAAAAAAAAAAAAAAAGCTGAATAGTAATTTTATGGCTTATTGTTTTTTGTAAGATCACTCTAATGGCTAACGTTAGCTGGCACATGGACTTTCAACCAGGAGACCACTGTCTATGTTCTGCAACTACACACAGTACTTTACACAGGTTTATGTCTCTTACATACCGTACATAGATATCAAAACCAAAGCCATGATCTTTTTTTTCTAAATTAACTTTATTTTTTATTTTTGTTTTTTAACAAAGATTTAACTGTGACTGTTTAACAATGAATCCATAACCATTTGAAATAGACTTTGCATTCTTTTCATATTGCCAGCACATAATTTTCACAGATTTCGTGCCACCAACATGTTATGTGTTGTTCAGAGGTTGTATTAATTTTACTCAGTTCTGTGAGACTATGTTGAACTGTTAACACCTGTAAAATGTGTCAGTATTCCCAACTGCTGTAATACTGTCATTTGCCAGTGCATTCATCTTGGCCTATCATTTTTTACCTTTTTTTTGTTTAAAGGGACATTGTGTAACATTTTCAGTTGTTTATTGGCAAAAATTGATGTCTGCATTCATAAATATGTCATCACTGGTGTACTGTTACCTCCACCAATAATCTGACTTATTCTCGTAAAAGGAGAATTTCGGATTTGTTTGTACATTGTGCGGGTAAGTCGTCTGTGGGACATACAGCCCCGCCTTCGGCGTTTTTGTTGAGAGCCAGGCCAGCGCTGCATGACTGAGGAGCTGAAGGAGAGGAGCAAGAGGCGCTTCGCTACTACCCTGGCAAATTTGAAACAAATTCCCACTCTTTGAGCATAATGCAGGATCATGCATATGCAGCATCATGGGAGATGGAATCCTTGTCGCCAAGAAAGCGCAAAAGGGAATAGAAAAGGCAGCTTGACCTGCGAATTAAAAAAACGAAGGCCCACATCGGGGTAGCCTTTCCCAGGTAGAGAGAGCTGCTGAGGGAGAATGGTAATGCAATCACAGGCCAGCGCCGCTGTTGGCTCTTAGCCGCTGTTAGCGGCCAGTTGTTAACAGCCTCATCCCTCTCCTCACATCACTGCGCCGCTGTTAGCCGCTGTTAGCGCTGGCCTGTGATTGTATTACCTTTCTCCTTCAGCAGCTCTCTCCACCTGGGAAAGGCAACCCCAGTGCTGACCCTTGTTTTTTTAATTTGCCGGTCACGCTGCCTCCTGCATTATGCTCAAAGAGTGGGACTTTGTTATGCGGCAGTAGTGCCTCTGGCCACTAACAGTTGTTAGCGGCGCAGTAATGCGAGGAGAGGGATGAGGTGTGTGAGGTTGAGCCACTTGTCAGTTGTCAAAAGACAAGATGTGATTGGTTTGTTTCGATTTACACCCGCCCCAACAGTCCTACGTTGTAAACACAGCCAGCATGGTGAGGAGGGGGTTTGTCATCTTGTGTCGCTTGTGTCTGTGTAGGAGCCTGAATGAATATTCCATGTAGTATCGGATGACATGGTTTCATCAGTGTTATCATAGCTTTTTGGTACACAGCGGCTACCGTTGTTGCAATACGTGTTTGAAACAGTGAGGCGCTAGAGTGCGCTATCTGTTTGAATGCAAGATATGATTTCAACATTAGATGGGAGAAATTCCTACACACTGTGGCTTTAAAGCAGTGTTTAAAGATTTGACTTGATATCACAGATTAGACTCACTGACTCTGTTTCAAAATTTGTATTAGACTTCCAATTTCAATTCAGTTTTTATTTTTAAAGCCCAATATCACAAATCACAGTTTGCCTCAGAGGGCTTTACAGCATACAACATCCCTCAAAACTGGCTCAAAAAAAAAATAAGATTCTCAACTGGTTCCAGTTAAGAACTGGTGCCAAATTGTTTAATCCGTTTGAATCATGTGCCTCCGAGCTTATCAGTTTCTGTTTTTTGTTTTTCTGACAGTTGCACATTACAAAATAATGATGTCAAACTCATGCTTCTATGCTGCTGAAAAGACAAGAAGGAATCATGGTGGAGAGGAAGAAAAAGTCCAAATTGTGGCTTGATTTCACAAATAAAGATGACAACAGTGCAGCCTGCTCTGTCTGGAAAATGATAATTTAAAGTAAGGATGGAGACACCAGCAATATGCTAAAATATCTTTCTACACAACATGGGCTTAAATACAAGAAATACCATGTATTTGACACTCTAGTCACAGATAAACATCCTGTGACAACAACGTTAGTGCCACGCAGGCAGGCTTAGCAGAAAATAGTTAAACAGTGGAGCTTTTATTTTCTACTCTGTGTTCGCACTCATAGATAATAAAACAGTTGTGGTCATGCTGAAGGCCTACATTTTTTCCCCACACACAACATTGATTGGGAATCAATAAGGAAACCGATTAAGAGTCATACTAATGCACCAAATACATAATGGCATTGGTATTAATAAAATCTTATCAATTCCCTGACAGCAGTGATAAAATAAAAGGGATTTAAGTTTCTATATGTACAAGCGGCGTAAAAGCAGCAACACATTTCAGCCAAACAGAGACAACGGGCTTCAGTGGCAGGGAAATGAGCTAATGTGATACAAACCTGACAGAGGATGAACTAAATATCATCACAAAGTCCAGAAGCAGGTGAAGGGCCTGAATTCCTCTGAATCACTCTGAATGTTGGCATCAACATACCCTCTCATGATTACTGACTCAGTAAACACAGCTCATTTTATCAGGCTATTGATGAAATGCTCTACATGCTGTACACACCAGATGACTCGCTGATAATAAACACTGGTTGTTTGCTTTCCATGATGGTTTATAGATACAACAGAATTAGCAAATAAGTCCAAAGCTGTATGCGTGACAGAAACCGTTTCGACAGGTTTAGTATGAGGGAAATATCGAACAAGAAGACATCAGGACTGACGTCACACAGTGGAGGAAGGGGTCGTCTCTGACTCCTGATTGGCCTGACAGGCTTTGGAGAGACATGGACTGATTATTTGGGACATCTCTATCTATCCCTGAACGCCTCTCAACCAAGCAGCAGAGTGGCTGTAAGGTTAAAACACACTGGCATTGAACCCACCAGGTGGCTGGGTCTTTTTTGTGCTCTTCTCCCATAGTATTAAGTAGCTGTTACAGTCCCTGCCATCTGCCCAGTGCATGCTGGGATGCAACTATACCTCCTGCGACCCTGAACAGAATAAGCTGTACAGAGGATGGATGGATGGATATGCACAACAATGACTGAGTTGGACCGGTGAAGCCTGTAAAGCTGTGCCAGGTAGAGGAGTGAGCTGAGTCTAACCGAACAGGACAGTAGGATCAACATTCACCTGTCTCCACTGAAAATGGATAAAATGAGAGAATATTTGTACAGCTTTCATTTTCATTTAGATTTTCATAGTTAAAGGAAACCTCTGCTAAGCCTGCCTGCGTTGAGCTAATGTTATTATAACACAATATTTACCCCTCTGTAGTGGATGTGCTGCTCGGTTGGGAAGCAGCAGTGGAATTTGCGCATAGAGTGTCAAATACACGACGTTGTGTAGAAAGATGTTTTAGCATTTAGCATTTCTGGTGTTTCCCCCTTATTTGAAACGATTATTTTACAGACATTACAAGCAGCACTGTTGCCATAGTTTGTCGTGAAATGAAGCCATGCTTTGGACCTTCTTGTTGCACGTTTCTAGCAGCAGAGACACATAAGTTTGACATTGTGTTGCAACTGTCAGAAAAACATGCCATTATTGATAAAAGGAATTAATAAGCTCGAAGGCAAATGATTCTGATTCCAATTTGGAATCAGTTCCCGATTCCCATGCCGTCAGGCCCTTGGTGACGTGAACTTCTGAAAACGTAATAGTTGGTCTTTGCTCTCACCTTCAAACCTCTTTTTTACAAGTTGTGGTGTGTCTGTTTTATGTGTGTGCGCCATTGTTTGAATTGAATTGTGTGAATGCTGAAACTGAAGAATAAATCACTCACTCTCAGGCTATAACTGCTGCGCATTCAATTTAATCAACGCATCAGCTTCATGCGACACTCTGATTAAATTGAAAGCATTAGAGCGACGTCTGTAAGTGGTACTGGAATGTGCATGGTAAGAATTACTAGAACATGCGTAATGATTTATGCATCTGAGCTTTTTTTTATATACTTACAGTGTACATTATTTACTGTCAAATGTTGGCAGCAGAAATGCACTGAGATTTTTGTGTTGCACTGCTCAGGGTGACACTGTGATGGAGGCTTTATTTGTGTTGGTTTATTGAAGCTTGTACTCCAGTTCTAAAATTGTGGAAGAGTTGTGTCACACGAGTGCGCCAATTATTACTGGTTTGGTTAATATGCCACCCCGCCAGGCATACTGCAGAACTACACACAGTTTATTTTTGTGAAAGGAAAATGGTTTTTCTTTTTAAAAATATCTCCTCCTCTCATCTCTGTCCCCCTGCAGTTCGACATGCAGCAAATCACCCTGGAGGAGCTGAAACACATCCTGTTCTACGCCTTCCGCGATCACCTGACCATGAAGGACATTGAGAACATCATCATCAACGAGGAGGAGAGCCTGAAGGAAAACTCTGGAAACTGTCAGACGGAGTTTGAGGGAGGTGAGCGAAAGTCCCTGAGCCTACTTCACACACAGACACTTACACAAGTGTGTGTGCCTGTGCGTGTGTGTCAGTGTCATAGACGTACATTCTGCGGTGTGTGTGTGTGTGTGTGTGTGTGTGTGTGTGTGTGTGTTGTAGGAGGAAAAGTAATCCACGCTGTCAGGAAGAATTTGAGCTCTCTCATCAAGATCTACAGCCAACAGAGTCACAGCACATCTGCTGATTTAGTGATTTGGGACGTTGGTGGGGACCAGCGTCAGCCGGTCACCAGTTCAGAAGTGATGCCGATGAAATATGTATGACCTCACTGTGCAAAACTAGCCATCCAAGGTTTATAGATATCACAGCAACAGAGGGTATTCTAGGACTTTTTCAATGTCTCGCTGTAACAATGGGAAGTTTTGTTTTTTTTTTAAGACATTTTAAAGAAGCACTGTGTCAGAGGCATCTTGTGATGAGAGCTGCATATTGCAACCAGGTGAAACTTCTCTCATGTGCCAAGCAGGGTTGAAATGATATGAGATGATGTGAGTATTAAAGAATTTATCTTGTTATCAGTCAGAATGATGCTTAAAGGAATACAAATGGATGGATTTTCATTGGTTAAACAAATGTTGTATTACTGTAATCGAAACTTGAAACCATTTTTCCATTGGCAGTATGTGTAAAAAGTCTCCTCTTAGACAATAACTAAAATGAAGGGGAGGCTAAACATCCAGTTACATTTTTTTTCAATATTGTAGATAAGCAAATGTACACGCTATGATAACTGTCAACTTATATATCACAGTATACCTTGAAACCATTATATTGCTGCAACCCTAGTGCCAAGCGTGAGCTCCTGGTTAGGATTCCTTCAGTGTTCATTGTTCAGGAGGTTTTACTGGGACTTGAATTATCTGCAGAGATCTCCTCCTCTCCAAAACAAATGGACCTGGTGATTTAAACCAGTAAAAACACAGAAGAAAAACAGTTTCACAATACAAATCAGTGTTTTACTGAGGCTGTTTAGCTTATCACAGATGGGCCACTGCTAATGTGTGCTCACCTGTTATCGCTGATAACTTAAGATCCAGACGTTTAGGAGGTTTGTACCTGGAGCTAAATTAACCTCAAAGGTCTCATCTTCTCCAAAACAAACGGACCCAGTGATTTAAACCAGAAAAAAAAAACACCAAATAAAGCAGTTTCATGTTAAAAAAATCAGTGTTTTTCTGACTCTGCATATCGAGGAAGGGCTTCCAACTGCTGGAGCTGATGCAAAAATACGAATGACCCTATCTAGAGCCATTGTGTGGTCTGTCCGTTCTGGGCTACTGTAGGAACATGGTGGGGCAACATGGTGGACTCTGTGGACGAGGACCCGCTTCAAATGTAGACATTTACAGCTTATTCTAGGGTAATAAAAACACAATTATTCCTATTTTCAGGTATAGCAAAGTAAAGCATGTCTTCTATTATATAAAGAAAACATACCAATTATATTATATTCAATTTCTGCCAATATATCCCCCTAAATCCTGCACACTGGACCTTAAAGTATTTCTGTTTCATGTGCCTGGTTTGAATTCAGATTCATTGAGTCAGCCTTGTGTGTCTTTTGTGCTTTGGGGTCTTGACAGAAACACATTTATTAAAATGATTGAAGAGAAAGGCCAAAAATCAATGAGATTTATATAAAACATTCTAGAAGATAGGTGGCCTAGTGTCACAGTGCTCAGTATGCAGCCCAGGCAGTTCCATATTAACAACATATGTGCAGGGCTCCATGTTAACGAGCATCTGTTTGGTTTCAGCTGAGCAGATGCTTGTTGCTGTAAAGCACCTGCCAAGAGATATGTTCAAATCAGCATTGTTACTTTAATTAATTTACCTCTCACTGCCCTCTTAACACGTCCACGCACGTCTCGCCGTTCGATCTCCGGTTTGTTGTCTCAACCAGGCGTGAGCCTGGAGGGGGTCATGTGTGTGAGTGTTAGAGTTTGTATCCATCTGTCCATATCTCATCTTGAATACTTCAGGGCCAGTCAGCCTAATATTTTGTGTACACATGTGTGACTGTTTGCTCGAGGACCTGTCATGGTTGCTGTGATTCACAATGGTTGAAAAACTTGTTTTGGTGACTGTTTTATATCGTCATTGACTGTTGACTCCTCACTCCTTTTAACCAGCTGGTAATGGCCGATTTCTAGAAATCGTCATGGCTAAAACAACAAGCTTCACTGTCTGCTGGAGGACACATGTTGGCCTTCATCATGGCTCCAAAACTGACATCCACAGAAAAGTTTGGTCTCAATCTTAAGTGGAGCATCTGCAGATTAACTCCACGTTCGATAGGTTATGATACACCAAAGTTAGGCACATTACGACATTAACTAATTCTTGTTTTTGTTGTCTTCTCTGCCATGTTTACTGTAAGGGAGCTGGGAGGGACAATTCCACGGATTTCAGCTGCAACCCAGTTTTGTTCTGTCTTTTGCACAGACAAAATTAATACCATTAAAAATCCAGTTATGAATTATATGGATCAAAGATCTGTGCTTGTGTTTTAATTATTAATATTAATACACACATTAATACACACATTTAGCCCCATAATTATATTGTGTCTATATTTTACAGAAAGTGCCTGATAGCAAGATTTGTCTGAGGCAGCCACGACCAGCTCGGCCAGCTGCTTGGTGGACATTAGCACTCTGCTGAGGGCACTTCTCTAGTTTCTCTTTGTTGTTTACCAGTAAGACTTGATTGGAAAGCCTCAGTATTAAAACAGATCGATCATGCTGGTGATTACTGAAGGGGGATTTTTTATTAATGTGGAGATTGTAAATGAGAAATTTAAAATTTAAAGTATTAATCTTAATTCTTTGCCCCAATTGTGGCCCTCTTTTTCTCATTTTCAGTTCAGCGCTGACTAATGCTGTAGAAATAATGTCACACTGGAAAATGTGCATGTTAAGCTGTATTTTGTGACACATTATTGATTGCGTGTCTACCTTGACTGATGATATGAGTGTTTTGAAAGCAGCCTAAAAAATGCCCTGGCATCCATTTTGTTCCAACACTAATCACATGAATTCGGGGTGTAGGAATGGCTGAGTCATAACGTTCCCAGTTCCCACATATCCTGAAGGCAGCATGGTCGAGCAGGGTCCCAACCTACTTTGTTATGCAGTGTGACTGTCCTCATCAGAAGTGTTTGCAGGATTAATAATACTGAATGTGTGAAATTCCATTGCACTGAGATTTTCTCTTCTAGTCAAGGTCGTGTATATTTCTTGTGTTGGCTAAAATGATGCTGAGAGGCCGAATGGTTCCTGATGTCCCTCTTCACCAAACACCACCTGCCTGTGAATCATCCTACAGGGAATTTACTTGGCTAACACCAGTGTCAATGAGGAATGACAGAGATTGCGCCAGCACTTTATCAGGGTCTTAAAACTGGTGTGGAGTGATGACAACATGATGTTCCTATTGGGTTTATGATGAAAGCTGACCACTGCAGGATCACACAGAGCAATCACAACTGTTTGGCCCTGGATCCATGAGCACCACCTGCCACACAGGGACACCAAAATGTGTTCAGTCATGCAGAAATCAATACATCTTGTCACAGTGCGATTCATACTGAGCACAATTCATCATGCTACTCTGGTGCTTATTGCTTCAGCTTACTGGTATATGAGGTAGCATAAGAGGCACTTGATTTCCCTCTGGCTTCAGCTCGCTCTGGAATCAATATGGTGTGGAGCTGAAAAACAACAGAATAAAGAGTGTAACCACCGATCCATAGAAGTTCACCAGGCACTGATTCATTGCTGAGCAAATTACACCAATAGCGTAAAGCGCAGAGAAACATGTAGGAGTAGCAGCTGTCCAGGGAGTGCCTGGCAGCCAGACGCAAGTGTGGAAATCAACTTTGATCCATGAATGTCACAGCTGCCATACAGGTGCATAGATTTAAGAGCCCCATCTCAACAATATGTTCGGATTGTACATGTTTGTGATCACTACAAACTGGTATTGTTTTCGCCTTGTGAGTCTGTGTGTGTATGTGTCACCAAGACAAAATGTGTTCCCGGAGAGCAGGAACTACCACAGAAACCGCTAGACATTGTCATGAAACTTAACGGGTGTGCAGTTGAGATCACGTTTAAGGCCGAATTTGAAGATGGGTGTGGTCCAAGTGCAAGGACAATAGAATTAGGGTAGCAGGAAGTAGGGAAGGGACCATTGGCCGTGGGCGGAATATGAGACGATTGGCCCCTTGGCACAGATATGCAAAGGGCCCCACCACCAAGAGTTTTACGTCTCTTTGTAGTCAACATGCATCTTTTTGTGATTGTTTTGTGTCTCTTTGTTGTTTTTCCAGTTTTTGTGGATATTAGTGTGTCTCTTTGCAGTTCCTTTGCATCTGTTTGTGGTCTTTTTGAGTCTCTTCCTGGTCAGTACCTGTTCATCTGAGTGACATTTTGCAAGTTTGTTTATTAGCCAGGTTTTCAAATCAGTCACCATATCAATACATTAAAGGTAGTTAATATCTGTACACTTTTTACACAGTTGACTAATTGACCTGTAGCTCAACTGAATTTGGAGCACAAGTGAATGTCGACAGCCATAAGTCAGCAGCCTGGAAACCAGCATCCACCTCATTACCTTCATGACCACAGTGGTCCACTGAAGAAAACCCTTTGTGGATATTTGGCAGTGGTGTGGTTACTTTGGGCGGCTGAGGAGGTGTTTTATGAGGCTGACAGCAGGTTCAGGCGACTGGACTGAGAACTAATGTCTAGACCACAACTCTCCTCCCATCTTCACAGTCCAGCTAGCAGCTGAACACAGCTGCTCTTTCCATTGACACTCTGTTCAACTTACCCTGACTTATACAACTATAGATAGATACCTGAAATTTAAACCAGCTGCATGAATATCAAGGAAATGACACAAAATCCTACAAAATTCTTGAAAAACTTAGAATTATAAAACAGTTACATAATGTCATCCCAGGTGGTTTGACTTCTGTTAACCCTTTAAAAACAGCTGCAGGCGATTGTTGTATAATCTTGTTTAAGTCAATTTAAAATCAAAACCATAATAGCCAGATCATTCATGCTGTTTGCAGCAGAAAGGTAAGGCATTTGTCTCCTGGGTCATCAACTCAGTTATGTTACCATGGCCTATGTGTGGTGCAAACATGCTGACAGCAAGCAGTGGCACCTGTATTTCCCAGTAACGGCTGCAGGATATCAATGCTTGCATAATTGTGTAAAATGAAAGATATAATATCTCTAACATTCATTCTTGTTGCTACAGAAAGCTAAGAATCCTGTCTTCTGTGTCACTGCATTGTAAACTTGTGATAATGTCATTATGTTAGATGCCGTGCAAAAGCGTGCAAAAATGTGTGGTGCCAGAGAAATAAATAAAGAAATTAATCAAAAAGCCTTTGCAATCTGTTCATTAAAAAAACACATCTCAAAGAAAACTAAATATTGTAAATAGTTCAATTAACTTAAATAATAATGATAATAATAATAATAATAATAATAATAATAATACTAAAGGGTTTTTTTTAGGTGTTTTCACATTTCATAATTTATTGGATCAATGTGTTTTGTGTGTTATTTTGTGAAATGTGATGAAAAAACATCAGATGATTTTTTTTTTAATCTGTGACAAAATTTCTGTACTTTTTTCAAATATTATGGTTTATTGACTTACGTAACCGTTTAAAGAGTGTAAAGGCTCTCCAAGAAATGACATCACACTGAGCAAAATACCAGTGTAGGCACTGGCTGACCACCCCTTCTGCAGAGTTCAAATGGCAGGTCAGTATCTCCAGAGCGCTGTGATCTAGAAACATAGTTTTAATGGCCTTTGCTCCATCTTTTTTTTTTTTTATTCAGCCTCTTGATATGGAATTGGGTTAGTAGTATACAACTGTTTTTTTATTTTTTAACACAATGACATTGGATCAGAACTTGGTGTCAGTAGATACACAAGTTTAGGTATTATAATCAGGAAGTAAAAACTGATATTGTAACATCTCAAGTTTATGGCTGGATGTTTGTGTCGTCTCACAGCAGCATTAGCCTCAAAATCACCAGATTATTAATATTATTGTATAAATTAGGGAAGCAACTTGCGACTGGGAGATCACTGCTTCAGTTTTTACCCCAGCAGGATGTGACTGAGAGGAGAAAGTGAAAACATGTCTACTTCCTGCATTTTGAAACTGTTGCTCCAACAGCCAACAGATGAGCCTGTGGTTGTACTAGTCAGCTTCAAGGTGTGAATGTGAGTAATTACGAGTGTGAGCATGGGGTTCCTGAAAAAGATATTTGCAAAACCAAAAAAAAAACATATTGTGCAGCATGACTTGTGTACAAACATTGACCAAAATAAAAGCTTCATCCAGTGCTGAGTTACATAACCTTGCTTATTGGCTCAAAGTTCATTCTTAGATAATCCATTTGGCTAAAACATCACGTCACGTCATGTTTTATACGATGTGAGAGTCTGGAATAGTATTTTTTTAACAGGAGAGTGCCAACTAATGACACTGCCTCAGTGCCTCAGCCAAGAAAGATGTAGCAATTTCTGTCCTACTTTCCACATTGCATTTTCTTTGGAACAGCAGTCAAGAGGCATTTTTGATGACTTCAGTGCTTCTTGAATTGAGAGTTAAAAATAGAGCAAGTGAGTGTGTGAGCCATGTGGCTGTGGCTCATTGGCCCAGCTCCCCTAATTACCGCGGCCGGGTAAAATCATTTCAGCCCCTCGCAGTCCGACGACCCACTGCAGGGAGGAAGAGCTGCTGAGTTACCGGTTGGTGCCGGAGGTTGATTGAACCAGAAAATTATCTCATAGAGAGGGTCTGGACTGCTGTTGTGTGAATGGTTGTGACTTGGATTTCTGCATAATGTCCATTTACTTGCACTCCGGTGTCTTTCGTCTTTATGGAGACAAAGAATTGATGTCTTGAGGTGGATGTTGCTGTCAAGTATTTAAGTGCTGTTCAAGAAGCATGAAGGTGATACTCCTCACTGCTTCACCACCTCTAGTATTTAGTCTGACTTGATTTATGTGTTTAACCCTCTGAGACCCACCATAAAGCCATTGTTGTCTTTTTTTAAGAGGAATGGGGCATCTTTATTGGGAGATAGCAGGTCAACAGTATATGCCACAAAGAAGTTTGAAGTTTTTCTAGTCATAAATCTGTAATAAAGACTGTGTTTTGGTCAGATACAGATTCACATTTTTAAAGTTTAGCATCTATAGGGGCTTAGGACATTATGATGGAAGTATTTGAGGACCATTCCCATCCTCACAACAGTTTTTAGATTGATACCATTTGTTACACAGATGTGGTGCTAATTTAAGCATTTTTGACCTCTCAAGAATTTATAATGGCCACAAGTCCTCCAGAATACTACATGAAGACACCAGTATCTTTAGGAACTCTATAGAAAAATCCATTCTGTGATTTAGTATCAAAAATTTCTTTCATTTAGAGATTTTTGTAAGAATTTAATTTTTTGGCTATTTGGATGGCAAACACTTCTGTTCTGAAAACTGCTGAAGAAACCCTTATTGTCAACATCTTCTGAATACCCAAGGTCTCTCGTCTGTGGTTGTAAAGTTTCATGAGGATGTGATTATCCTAGAGATCACAAAAGTTCTGTTTACAAAGTGACGTCAAGTCTCATGGCTACTATGGGACTTAACATCATTATACATAAATAAAATTGGGCTCACTGAATCCACAAGAGCCTCAGCTTTCTAGTCATGCTCAATTAATGCAATTACAAGACTGTTAGGGGACCCCAGTATGCAATGTGTCATAAACTACATGGGATAATCATAAAGTGAGCATGTCTGCAAAGGGGAGACTCTTGTGTATCCAGAGAATCAATTTTCATTAAGATATTTTGAGGTGAGAGGCGAAGGGACCTCTGTGGTGTGTTTCCGTCACCAAAATTTAGCCTAACTTTGGAGCATCATATGATGCCATCCCATCACAATCTCCTATATACATTAATGTTGACCAAGATCATAATGCACAAGCACACTCTCAAAAATGACCATAAATAAAATTGTAACCTCAGGTTTGCCTGTTGGCCTTGTGATGTTCACAAATGAACACAGAAGCTCTGCAAGTTTGGTTTTAGATCTCTGTATTGTAATATTGGCTTTCTGTTAAAAGAGCTCTAACATTAGGATTTCTTTTCAGCACCACAGAGCACTTACATTTTGATATAGCACACTGAATTTGATGGATTCACTATTTACCAGACCACAAATGAAACCATAATTAGCTAGCTTTCATAGCCTGCGGACCCTTTGCCTCACTCCCCACCACTAGGACACGAATTTCCCGGTAGGAGAGTGGACGACAACTCAGACCTTAGCCACTGTAGCAACTCCAGGTCAGCCAGTGCAAACCCCAGCTTTGAAGTTAACAGCAAGCTAGTGGCCAGTGGCAGCGAGGGGTCTAATCTGTGTAACAGCAGTAACAGAAAGTTTGGTACAGCAGAGACTTGGAGTGTTTGAGAGGGCAGTCCAGGACCACACCCCTGGCTCGAGAGTTACTACAGTGCACAAAGTGAAAGTCCATTGCCTTTTGAGGCTGCAAAATATGTATATGAAATCACAGCATGTGTGGACTCTGTGTTGTGGTGGGTGCCCTTCATTTGTTGACACTACCGGTACATTACAACCTGTTCACCCATTGGCAATAAAAAACAATTAAAACATTTCCAAACTAACAACAAGCAAATCTCTTGATAGAGGAGCAAGACATTTTTAGGTTTCTTAGTGCATTTTCTGTTGTGTAAGTTTGAATGGAATAATTCTCCCCTCAGGGAGAGCAGTTGACCATTGAACCAAAGGAGTAAATAAAGTATAAATGAACCACTCCAACTGCCTGGTGTTAGTGCACTCTGTGTTTGTCTTCATTATATTCTCTGTCTGGGGGCAGAGATGATAAATTCAAAGATGTGTCAGAAACAGAGGTGTTATCATCTTTTAAACCAGCACTTTCTGTTTGTCTCCTTCTCATTTCTCTTTCAGTTCACCCTTCAAAGAAGAATCGCCAGACGTGCGTGAGGAAGAGCCTCATATGCGCCTTTGCCATGGCATTCATCATCAGCGTCATGCTCATCGCAGCCAATCAGATGCTGAGGAACGGCATGGAGTAGCTGAGCCCACTGTGAACAGGGAACAAGCCAGCCTGCATGTGCATGCCAGTGGGTGAGGTCATATCCCTGTTGATAGGAAAAGGACTACAAGGAATAATACTCAAAATAATCGACAAAATCCATTTTTAAAGTTATTCTTAGTTTTTTGAACGAGTGGCGCCTCTCCATGTGACGTCCAATGAAACCGTGAAGCCAGCATGAGGAGTGATGCAGGACTCCTCCCCCTTTACTCTGACAGGGACACTCAAGGGCTGACATTACACATGATACTCTGTCGTGTCTGTTTCCCTGATGCAATAAAAAAATGTAACAAAAAAAAGTGCAGGAGTTCAGAGCTTTTCCAGCAGGCGAGATGTGACGTGTGTGTCTGCAGATCTGTCACCCACCAGGAGTCTGATGAGCTACCAGAGCTGCAGTCTGGGCCCCGAAAGAGAACAATTGCCCTCTTATTATAGTTCCTGGAGGCATGATGGCAGCGCTCGCCGCCACTCAAGCAGAAGGATCTGTACACATCAGGCGGACAGCTCCTGGAGCTCCCATGGTGCTACGATACTTCAGCTCTCCAACTTTCTATTTTCAACTACTGTGACTGTGGGCTGGTATGAGGTGCTGGCATCAGTTCATCGGCCCTACACACCAAGCAGTCAAGCGAGCAAAACGTTAAATGTTAACTCCAGGCTGGTGTTTTGGCCTGTGATATTCATGAATGAACACAGAAGCTCTGAAAGTTTGAACACTGGACACTGTTCAGGGTGCAAAGAAAAGGTTTCTGTGTTCTATTAAAGGAAAGAAAATCCACCCTTTTAGTGTTCACTCTGTTCTATATCATCACTCTGTGGTGTTCAGTGCACTCCAGGAGTGATTTTGCAAGGTGATTTAATTCAGCTTTCTCTCACTCTGCCTCATCTACTTCTGCCTCAGTTGGTGATTTTCTACATTTCCCCAAATGACTTTGGACAACCCCCAGAGATGAAGTGTGAAACCATTGCATTCAAAGACAATGGAAGAGCAAAATAACACAAGGTTTTCCAATCGACAGAACCTGAATAGATTTAGTCTAAATCATAGATGCTCAACTTGCTCTGCCCAGGGGCTACTTTTGCAAAATATTCACAAGGCCAGGGAAGAGTTATTAAATAAACATTAATAATATTTGTCAGATTAAATGAATGGACAATGCAAATCCAGTCGCAGCAGCCCTGCATGGGTCAGATGTAGGCAAGGGTGTTTCTAGGATTTGAGGACATTCAGGACCTCTTTCGGGGGGTCTGGGGGATCCTTTCCCTGGCACTTTCTTTTCATAATTAAGCTCTACTTCAGTGTTTTGTATTAACTAAGGCACACCAGTTACAGTCTAAGTACAAACAATTTTTTTTAGTGTGAATCAGTTTAATACCATTGTGAAATAGAAAAAAACTGGCGGGTCCTCCGGCTCCACTTCATCACATTTTTCCTATTTTCCTATTAGTTGTTGAATATATGTTGCCACGTAATCTGGGTTTGGCCAGTTGTCTGTGAATATAAAGGCCCAGGATCACCAAAGCAACATCAGAACTTGCGGCAATGAAGGCCGACTGTTGCGTCGCCTCAAGTCACCTGTGTCTCGGCCAAAAAGTTTCACTTGAACAAAATACAAAGATACAGCCAACAGCCAACTAGCACGTACGTTCTGCACCTGCGCAGGAGGACATAACTCTCCAGCAGCAAGTGGCTGTAGACTGTATTCATCATCCAAAAAGGGAAACCGAGAGGCCAACAGGACGGTTCAAGACGCTAGATGGCCCGTTAGCACACTAACAACACAACCTAACCTTACTAGTGAACAATAACACAATTATGAACCATTCTGCTAAAGAGCTCAGTGGCTAAAAAAAACCAAACTTACCTAGTTTAACAAATTTGTTTTGATCTCATGCCCTCTTGACTTAAGCCTTTTGTTTACTTTCCTCACTCCAGTTTCTCTTCTTTTGTACTGAGCTGAACTGCCAATCAGAGTGATTGCATTCGACGACTTGCTCCGCCATCTCTACCGATGATTCAACATCCCAAATCCACTGCAAAAAAGCTGAGAAGGGCTGATTAGTGCCAAATGCTACATGCCGCAGAATTAGGGCAACAGACGCTCACTGATGGCAGACGTTCATCTTGGTGCGTCAGGGCCCTAAGAGAAATTGACTTAGGAATGTATGGTACAACACCACCAACGCAGAATTTTTTAACAGTGTAAGGGTGGATTTTTCTTTGTCCTTCAAATCACGGTGATTCAAGTTAATGAATTATGACTGCGCTCAAGTTTCCTGCGCAAGTTATTGCTGTTACCTTTAAATCAAAAAAATTAAATGATCTGTGTTTATTTTATCATTTTTAATGTAGATGAGTTGTAATGAGTTAGTTTAATATGTCAAATATACAAATGAAATAAAAAGGTGAGCAAAACAAAGGTACCATTTAATTTATCTGTTGGTTTTTGTTTTGTTTGTTTTTTCAATTTAAGAACATTTTCTGAATTTGAATCCATCCTGCAGTCAAATTCTGATTCCACTGTTGCTTTTGTTGGTTGTAGATCTGATATGGTAAATTAATCAATTATTTGATTTTAGTCACTTGTCTAAGCTAAAATGTAAAAACATCAGTGTGTCATGAACTTACATGTACTTACGTTAGCACCCTTTATATATCCCTTGTTTTCATTTTAAAACTGTTGCTGTTGTGGGATAGAAGTTACTGTGTGGACCAGAGATAACAGATTTTGAGCTGCGACAAATTCTGTGAAGAATTTTGGGGTTTGCAAACTTTGTCACAGCACTGAATGATTTAAAGACATGTCTTGACTTGTTGATTCTGAGGTCGGCTATGAACTCCTGCACTGACCCTCATCTCATGTAAACCCAGCCAGGGGTCAGAAACACCCATGTTATTGAGTGCATGCAATCAAGTCAGTGTCCTCTGTAAATACCGTAACCCACGTCTGAAGTGTTTCAAGTGTCTGCTGAAGGTGTACAGTATGTCTGTATGTGCATGACTGTCGGTGCTCTCTGCTCACTCGGGTTCAGAGGTGCAGGGAGGGAGATCAGCGGATAGAGAGGCAGCCGCTTCATCACAAACATGTCAGACACAGGCGGTGAAAGCCCTTTCTGCTCCCTCTCAACCCTCTTGCCAAAGCCATAGAACTCCGCAGAGGTGAACCAGACAACACAATATAGATGCTTTTCCCTGTCCCTACGTGGAAACACGAGATCTGTCTGGCATTTTTTGGCAGAAATATGTCTCTCATGTATGATTTGGTTTGTTCCTGTTATTGTTTTTGCACTGTACCTGTCATCCATTCCAATGAAATGACAAGCAGGGCTGTAGGTTTGTGCAAGAGTGCCATCTAGAGGAGAAGTAATATAACATTGTCCATGCTGTTGTTCCACGACGGTGTTTGTGTTTCTCAGTCTCTAAGCACCACAGGAATGTGATGTCAGGCAGGACTCTCACAGCATTATATTCACAATGTCTGGCAACTGTTGATCTTAATGTTAAAATATGAGGATTTTTATGTATGTGTCAATTGACTATGATCTACCAACTGCAGGTAGAGCAGCACTTGTATTTGAACACGGTGTATTTATAGGAATAGATTTCTTGTCTATGACAGAAAAAGTTCTTTTGAACCTGTAAAAGGTTTCACACACAGATCAACCATTACTATTACATTTCGGAGACTGAAGAAAACGCACTTTGTGCAAAACAGTCTGCAGAACCTTGTAGGTCACACTGGTTTTATTATTTTTTTATCAGAAATACTCACACTGATTAAAATTAGTTTTGTTCTTTTTTAATCTGTCAGTCATTTGGTGGAAATTTCCCACAAAATTCTAGTCACTGCTAGCATGTAGTGGCTAACTGAAAAAGAGTTTTATTTGTTCTTTTAGAAGAACGTTGTCTTTTAAATCTTATTTTCATTTTTGTATATTTTTTTCGGGATTACTGTGGTTACAGTTTTCCTGTAACCAGACTGCCCCTGCAGAGTGGTTGCATGTATTGGTAGTTGAAGAGTTTTATTTTGGAGGGGAAACGCACAGTGTCTCTTGAGTAGCATGGTGATTGGATCCCACGTGTTTTTGTTATGTAACTTTGTACATAGCTAATAACATAGCATATGTATTAGACAAGCACACACTATACATACTTTGCATGTGCAATATTTAAACATGTAGACTAGAGAAAGAATTTCAGTTGTACTATTTATTAGAGGCATATTAATTATGAAATTGTAAATACGGAAATCTGTACAAAAGTTAAAGGATCAAGCATTGATGCAATAAAACAGTGTTTTTTAAATGGTTCTTTATGTTTTATTTTGCACTGGACTCGTGCTCATTGTGGCGGTCATCAGTTCCTTATCAGGCCCCAGGTGCCTAGGGGGGTCTTAAAAAGTATTAAAAGTTGATTAATTAATTAAGTGACAATTAAGGAACTCAAGACTTTAAAACTTTTTAAACACTTTTTTATGAAGTATTAGATTTTGTAGCTTGTTTCAATATGTGTATTTGTCCATAGAGGTTGTATACTAAAGTTTGCATAGGGCTGGGTGCACATACACAAGCCTCTTTTCCTGTCCCAAAGGTAGATAGGAATGGAGACTGTATAGTTATCCTTAAACATATCTGTATATCAATGGTTGTGCCTGCTCCTCCTCTCATTAGACCTGTCAATGACAAGGACAGCAAAGAAGAAGTGCAATCTCACTGACTGTGTCACATCGGTGAGGTTCTCCAACAGCACCAGGGCAGCTGTCATTACGCAACTGCGGCATCAGCATTTATACCACTAATTCATCGCATGTTCCTGAAAACCAGGTGTTAAGTTGTGCCAGTTTAAGGAGCCAGCATGTGACTGAGGGCACATATAAAACAAAATAACTATTTCATCTCACTTTCACATCAAACTACCAAGTTGTCCATTGAAATCACATTAGCTCATAGCACAAGCATTAATGACAGAGAGTTATTCCTGTGACACTTGGGAGGAGTCACAAGTTGCCATGCAACTGCATCAGCAAAAAAAAAATCTCACACTTTAAGAAGCTATGTACTTTACTATGACTTTTTAATTAACTTTGTTATGGCATAAAATATATAGTGACATTTTTTACAACAGTTTTTATGACATTTTTATGTCGTACTGAACTATAACTTTTTATGATTTTTTTTATAGTATGCTAGACTGTATTTTGTTCTGGCATACTAGACTATGACTTTTTATGGTGTACTATTCTAGGACACTTTTTAGAGCACACTACACCATGACATTTCTTGTCCTGATATATTATGGCATACAGTGCTATGACATTTTTTTATGACTTTTATAGAATTTTATATACATACATATATACATTTTAATGCATATGCTGTGATATTTATGGTTAACTATAAAGTAGGGTAGAGCACGCACATCCAAAGTATCACAGGTGCGGGACCAACAAGCAAACAGACTTTTAAAAAAGGTGAAGTCCGCACACTGTTATAGCTCCTCAAATGTTTATTGTAAGGATCAACGTTTCAATCAACACAGATCTTCGTGACGAAGTGGAGTTTAAAAGTGGAGTTTCACAGCATTATTGGAGTGTTTCGAATTTGTTTGGCCTTCACATTTGCCTACAAGGAGACAGAAAATAATTTGGAGCTTTATAAAGATGGCTGTTATGGCAGGGCTGTTGTATTGGATTGTATTAGGTTGTACAAGTATACCTCAAGTGTATATTATCACTGAGTGTATATTATCTTTGTGACCACACTTGAACCACAAGAGGGTAGCATTAGGCACTAAAATGGTGAGGCTAAGTGTCGTACTGACACACAAACACTGAAACAGTAACGTGCATGGAAATTCTTCAATACCTCCACATACAGAGGATCAGGTAGATAAAATTATTTCCATTTTGTAACCAACAGACACAACTTTCTCCTTTAAAGATAACCTTGAGTTGGAAGTTGTCACTCAATTACCTTTTTCAAAAGGACATTTAATTTGAAACCATATCAACATTTAAACTGTTATATCATGTCTGAAAGTCAGCTGGTAGCAGCTGCAGCCACTTACAGCAAACTGCACGTTTATATTGGAGCTCAAGTATGTTTCTGTCCAATAATGATAATGTCTGTGTGGCAATTTTGCACAGATAATTTTAAGTCTGCATCCAGAGACACTCGTAATCAGAGAGCAGGCAGAGATGACAGGTCTGCTGCAGGGACACAGACCTGCCATCAGATAACCAAACACTATATGGAGCAAATAATGACATGATCATTTCTGATAACACAGTTTCTATTTTCTGCTCAACACAGAGATACAGAGCACTGTTGGTTTGGACAGTGCTGACAATATGGAAACTATAACTGATATTAATTGATTTTACCCACAAATAATGATAAAGTATTGTAACCAAATTAAGATTTTCAAAATAAGGTTAAGAATTTACTGCAAAAATTTAAACATTTTACCTGACTACCATAGTATCATCATATAAAATTATTAGTTTTTTCATGTTAAGATCTACAAAGTGAGCTATTTTCTGTCCTCATAGGATCCACCTGTGTAATGTAAGAGTCTGCTAAGTTAATTTGATCAGACTGTCCTTGGAGTTATTTACAGCAACTGTTGGCTGACATTTAGCAGGATTTTAACCAACATATAGTAATCCTATTTCACGCCAGCAGATGATGAGCAGGCCTGTTGTTACAGAGTCTGTTCAGCGCTCAGTGTTGTGTTAGCATGCAGGCTCTGTCCTCCAGAGCCACGCCATCCTCTCCAGCTCTCTGCTAGAAACAGGCCCTTGTGCTCCCGGCAGGCTCCTCCTGTTTCATTTACATCTTAAGCTTTTAGCTGATGCTT